GGCCTGGTCTCTGAATCTAGAAGTGAGGTTAGGCGAGGGTTGTCATTCACCTTCCAGTTCTTTCCAGCGGTTACCAATGATTTCCTCTTCCAAGATCTACTGCAAAATAGAATAACCCATGAATCCTGGAACTTGGAACCCGAGATCATATTGTCTTTACGGTTGGCATTAATATAAATTATAAGATATGAAGTGGCCAACCGTCTATTTATTATATTTCTTTATCATTTAATTTCATTTAGGATTAAATCATCCATTGCCAACTTTAATTATAATGTGTTGGCAAGGTCATAGACTAGCATATTATTAATCATCAATTTGCCATTTATTTTATTATGTCTTACCTTTTTGCCTGTAGAAATAAATGGCAAATTATTATCTCTTATATAATTCCAGCTTATGGCACTTAAGTTCTTATATAAATTAAAGAGGAAAGACAGGCCATAAGCTGGGTTAATAGATAATACATTAATCTCTTATTTATAATTCTATGTGCCCATCATCTATTAATTTACTCTTCTTTTATATTAAATGATGGGCACAATATATTAAATTATATCTTATTTCATGGCATTATTTTAATCATTCATGTTCTATTATTAACTCTTTTATTAATTAAAATAATGCCATAATAGAAGTATATTATATAATATTATGCCGGATATCATCTATTTTATATCATCTATTTTATTGATATCCGGCCAAGATTATATCTATTATTTATTTATTGTGGGATTTTCTATTAAAAGATAAGGAAAAGAAATGAATAAAGAAAATCCCACATTTATATTATTTATTGGCAGTTAATAATTTTATTGACCCTTTATGAAGAATCCTGTTGACTGTAAAAATTATTAACTGCTATATCTTATTATATTGTTCTTTACTTTATAGGCATTAAATTATTCATTGCTTTTCTTTCTTCTTTAATAATTTAATGCCAAATAAATATAGATTTCTTATAAATGGGCGCTGGAACGGGTTAGCAAGAAATAAAAAAGAGGGGGTAAGTTAATAGCGCCCATAATATATATATTCTTGTATTCTTGGCCACCTTATAATATTAAATGGTGGCATAGTTTTCTTTCTTTTATTTATATAATCCCATTGGCCATTTATATTAAAGTTCTATATCTTATTATATGGCCAATGGGTTATTATTAATTATTTCTTGCCGCCTTTTATTAAAATATCTTATTGGCGGCATTATATACTTCTATTATGACCTAGCCTATGGCCGCGTTATCAGATTAAAATTAAAGATAACGCTCATTTGTAAATAATAAAATAAGAAGTAATTAATGCACCATCTATATTTATTAATGATGGTGCCTATAAAGATAAAGAGATAAAGGGGAAATTTCCTTATGGATTACTTCTATCTTTTTATAATGGGAAATTTCCCTAAAAATAAGAGATATTACCATGGAATTTTATAAGAGAATAAGAGAAACAGAGAATAAAATTCCATGGTTATGTCTTTTAATTTAATGTCATCCAGCTTTTATCCATAAGAAATTACTATAAAGATAAAAGCTGGGACATAAGGACCAAAAATATTAAGAGAATTACATTTATTTTTGGTCCTATATTATCTTATTTATTATGGGATTTTGCTATATTAAAAGATGTAGAAATTATTGATTAGCAAAATCCCTTATATTTTAATATTATTACCTGCATTTTTATATTAAAAAGAGAATCATAAGATATAAAAATGCAGGACACATAGCAAAAATCCTTATATTTTATTAGAAATTACTATTATTAAAGGATTTTTGCATATTATTAATTAATTCCCATCATATTTTATATAAAAAAGAACTAAATAATATAAAATATGATGGGGGAGAAATTTCCTATATTATAATCTTTTATTCATGGAAATTTCTCCAAGTAATAACATTCATATCTTATAATCTCAATGAACGAATCTTTAATTTTTATTGATTCGTGGTCATCGGTTAGTCTATAATATATAATCTTAATGCCCACTTATTTATATTTTATGGTTTACTTTATTTAAGTGGGCATTATACATTTATATCTTATTATCTTTATTATCTGGCATAGCTTTATATTCTTATATTTATTCTCTTATCTATAAAGCTATGCCATAATAGAATTTATATTATAGATTATTGATTTCCTCTTCTTATTACTATTTTTAAGGGAATTCGTATGAAGAGGAAATCAATATATAAGATAATAAATTAATATAAGTAATCACCACCATTTTTATTAATATAAGATACAAAGATATAAAAATGGTGGTTTATTATTATTATTTTCATTATTATTACCATCATTTTCATTAAAATAAGAGAAGGATATATGAAAATGATGGAAGAGATATATTATCCGATTTCATTTATTCTATAGAAATTACTTTATGAAATGAAATCGGATGTCTTTCTTATATTATTACGCTGCAAAGATATAGCAGCTAATTTACTTTTATTATCTATAATCATGATATGGCATTTTAATTATAATTTATGCCATAGGTCATCCGCTAGGTCAACTTTCTTTTATTTTATTGGGGTTTTCTTTATATTTAAAAGAGAATTAATAAATAAGAAAACCCCATAATAATAATAAATATGTGTGCCGGATAATAAAAAGATATAGAACTTGAATAATAATATCCGGCACATAAGTTGATAATAAGTAATAATAATATATAGGAGATTGCAAATGAAATAAGAGACTTTTTATAATGCATTTGCAATCTCATGCCATCATTTATTAATTAAAGAAGAGATAAGTAAAATAAATGATGGCATAAAAGAAACATAAATAATAATATTGGTAATCGCCAGGTAATAATAATTCAATAACCTTATAATTTAAACTAACCTGGCGATTGATAATAAGATATAAATGAAAAAGAGGGGCAGTGGTACGCCAGAAAGAATAAAAGAGGAGGATACGAAAATAAACTGCCCCTTAAGTAATAAAATGATGTACTAGCAATTGGCTTGCAATCTTATATAAATTAAAGATTGCATCTTGAGTTATAAGATATTAGTAATTAATCTTCCACTTTTTTCAATAGAAATATATAGGAGATAAGAAAAAAGTGGAATAATATATGATTTCTTTTATCTTCTTATTATCTTTACCTTTATGCCCATAGGATTAATATATTTTATCTATCTTATGTTTTCATTAATTTAAATCCTATGGGCAGATAAAAGAAATAATACATATAATTAATATCATTCACTTATTCTATTTTGCTTTTATTTATTACGGTTCAAAGGAAACTTCACAAGCTATAAAAACAGGAAGGATGAATAAAAGCAAAATAGGTGAATGATAAAATATAAGAGGACTAGTCGTTGACCTGTGAACGCAATTAAATTAAAGTGAACATCAATGTCATATAAGTATAAATAAGTAAGACATCCATTTTTCCAGAATACAAATCCCTTAAAAATACCTGGAAAAATGGTAAGGAATAAATAAAATAATAAGGGACCAAAATATTCTTGAAATCTCTTAATATATTTTGGTCCTATAGGCAGAATTTTATAATAAAGAAGACAGAAATGAATAAAATTCTGCCATGAATAATAATAAATGAATGTATGACCATTAATTTTAGTATTTCTTATTCATTTCTTATCTACTAAAATTAATGGGAAGGAATGAATAAATGAATAACAAATATATGCCCTCGTTTCATTATTCTAAGATTAACCGTGTAAACGAGGGCAGGGATTTCTTGTCATTCATTTTTTATTAAAAGATCTTTGGCATGCAAAAAAAGAGGAGGAAAAAATGAATGACAATAAGAAATCCATCAATCTCTTAATTTATTTGTTATTCATTTATTAAAGTTATTATCGCCCTTATAAATTAAAAGGGCGTATATATTAATTAATGAGGGAATTTCCTTATCAATAAAATATCATATAAAGATAAAAGGAAATTCCCATTAATTTATTACTTATGGTGCCCGAAAATTTATTATAATTCATCTCTCTTAATTTTCGGGCATATAATTCTCTATTTATATTCTATGGTTAATGCCCCATTTATTCATATAAGAGAAATATCATTTAATAAATGGGGCATCCATCTCTTCTATTTCTTCTTTTCTTTAATCTTTACCCCAACTTTTAAATTAAAAGAGCAATAATATAATAAAAGTTGGGGGGTTAGTCTATTGATTTACTTATAGATTGCCTCTTTTTTATTTGTATAGATTTCTTTATTAAAAAAAGAGGCAATAAGAATAATCCTATATGACTAGCAGATGACTTTAATGCAGCTATGCTATAAATTAAAGCATTAATCATTGATTTATAAGAAAGACAATGTAAATAAAGGGGCAGCAATATTAAAATAACTTATCGGCTGCCCCATGGCTTATAAATTAATGTAAAGATATATGAATTATTAATTTATAAGCCATATAATATATATCATTCATCTCTTATAGTTAAAGATCACTTATAAAAAGAGATGAATGATAAAGAGAATTAAATTATGGATGAAATTCCCTGTCAATTACTTATAGAATTTCATCCACCAGCATTTATTTATGCTGGAATTATATATAGACCATGGATTTTTAATATAAGAAATAACTAATTGTAAAAATCCATGGTATCATTAATTAATATTATCACCATTTTTCCATTATTATCATTCATATCTTTTATTGGAAAAATGGTGGGGAAAAATCCCATAAAATAAGTGATTAATTAAAATACAGGGATTTTTCCATTAATTAACATATGACCGATAAAATTATCGGATGACCACTTTTAATTTATGATTAGTGGTCAGGTCATATGCTAGGTTATATATTATCTTTTACTTATGGGGAATTTCTCATTTAATTATTTCTATCTTTAACTATAAAGAAATTCCCCATTTGTTAAGATATAAATGATATTATTCTTGGCCTTATGATTATTACTTTGCTTTTATTAATTTCAATCATAAGGCCATATATATAGAAATTGGTGTTAACCCTCAATGAATATTATCATATTTGTCATTATTTATAGGATTCCAGGAACCTTCATGTACGAATAAAAAGGAGAAGGAAATAATGACAAATATGTGCGAATTTTATTATGAGCAAAAATGAATAACTATAAGACTAGAAGATGACCTCGGTTCATTATGTAATTAAAGAACCGATCATGAAATATAAATATATGTATCTTATATTATTACATGAAAAATCCTAAAGGAAAGAATATTATAATAAAGGATTTTTCATGCCTATAGATACAATTTATTTTATATTATATTTCTATCTTTACATTTGGCATTTTCTTATTAATTTGCTATTGGAGAAAATGCCAATCTTGTAAAATAAATTGTATCTTTCATGTCTTCCAAAATTCACCAATCATTTATATTTTGCCAGTGAATTTTGGTAATCTCTTATTTATATTATTCTATCTGCCCCTTATATTTTTATTATCTCTTATTTTATCTAAAGGGGCAGATATTATATTATTTCTTTCTTTCTTCTTGCCATTTCATCTATTATAAATATCTCTTATAATGAAATGGCAAGATATATATTATTATATTATTCTTTGCCGCTAGGCTACATTATATATTATTATCTCTTATTATTTGGCCTAGCGGCTATATCTCTTAATTTATATTATTTATTCCTCAGCATTTTTCATATCTTTTATTATCTCTTTATATAATGAAAAATGCTGTATTTCTTATTATCTACCAATATTTTTCATTAATAGAAATCTCTTTATTATTAAAAGCCGATCATTATTATTGATGTTTGCCCTCTTTTTATTTAATAGATAATTGAAATATAAAAAGAGGGCATTAATAATAACAAGAACCACAGCATATAATTATTCTTGGCTGTGGTAGTTAATAATAAGAGATTATATTATTGCCCTTCTTTTATTTAATGTATCTTTCATTTATAAGAAGGGCAATATAATATAGAATGGCCAGGCAGGGACTTCCCAAGTAAAAAAGAGGGACGAAAAGTAAAAAGCCTGGCCTAATTATAAATCATGGACTAACCATTGGCCGCGATCATCTATTAAAATTAAAATGATCGCATGCGAATATCTTTATGAGCTATAGATGAAATGAAAGGGAAATTCATTCATATTTCTTTCTTATGAATTTCCCAGTGTGTACAGCCAAAAATCAAGATAGAAGTTCTTTATTAGAGATTTTTGGCCCCTTCATGATACGAAAATAAATGCAAAGATAGAAAGTGAATCATCATTTATTTTCGTATAGTCTCTTTATATTTATACCTTTGTGATCGCATTTTTGTACGTCACCTTTTATCTTATGAGAAGTAGACCGCGATCACATTATATTCATTCATAAGCCTTTCATTTTGCCATAGAATCTTTTAATATAAAATGAAAGGTTGTTTCCTCTTATATTAAGAGGTTAATATTATTAAAGAATATAGCATTTTCATTTATATACGCTGGGACAAAGGTGGGAGACAATAAATGAAAATGCTTGTCTTTCTTATTTTACTTATGTTGGGTCACTTATTATTTATTTTGATGACATTGTGACCCAGCGTATCATCTATTTATATTATTCATCATCATCATTAATTATAAAGAGATTTCTAATACAAATAATATGATGATGATGAATAGGCCATAAGTAATTAAAAGGCCAATAGCTGCCATGGATTTTATTATTTCTTTTCATTCATTAAGAAAATCCATGGTTGATGCCTGTCAAAAGGCATTTATAGTCATTCTAGTTTATGGTGTGTCCGGTTATCCATGAATTAATTTTCGTATAGTGACTCTTCAAATTAATTCATACGTTGTAGCGGCTCAAAATACGAAGACGGCCAAAATTCATTTCATTTTACATTCATTCATTTTGGTTTAGTTTATTATATAATGCATTTCTTTGCTTTGGCAATATAGAAATGCATGAATGATATTATATTTTACATTTCATGATACGTTTCTTTCATTTATAATAGAAACGTAGGTCAAATGCTAGTGTAACTTATTTTTACTTATGTAGCCCCAGCATCTCTTAATTTATGGGGGATTGCAAAGATAGAAAGATATAATTAATTTGCAATCCTTTAATTTAATGCTGGGGCTTATAATCCTAACAACCTAGACGATGACCTCACATCTTATATAAATTAAAGATGTGATCATGATGGTAGATAATAAAATAAAGAAAATACCATGCCATTTTATAAGAGAAGTAAAATAAAATGGCATGAGAGTAAAATAAAAGATAAATAACTGGCGGCACAAATTATTAACTTATGGTGCCGAGTCCGAATAGATTATGAGGTATATGTTATTACCTGTAGAAAAATCCAATAGTTGTTAAGGATTTTTCATCTATGTCTTATTTATTATTATTGTCCCACTTTTTTCATGGTATTTTTATTAAAAGTGGGACAACATATTATTTAATTTTTTATTATTATTATCCGGGCCTTTTTTAATAATTCAATGTGGGCCCGGTTATCTATAATTTATATCATCTATTGCCAATCATTTGTTGAGTGTAAAATATAATATAAATGATTGGCAATATAATATCATCTATAATTTATATCCGCCCTTAAGATATAGAAAAGATGGGCGGTAAGTTAATAAGTTATGGCAGCTTTTAATTTATTTGCTGCCAATATATATTAATTCTTCTTTTTACTTTATATTACATGACTTGCGATTTAATTTATAATAGAATTTCGCAAGGGATAAAATACATTAATGATTGCCACAGCTTTTATTGATTAAGAAATATATAAAATATGCTGTGGCAATAGATGAAAGAATATAATGTACTAGCAATTGACCTTCGCTCATATATGAATGAAAGAGCGAATCATGATTATAGATAATAGAAATGGATAAGAGAAAAATCCACATTAAATAACATGATGCACCAATAAAATTAAATGGTGCCAATAATAAAAGTGGTGGATTTTTCTTACCTTTATATTATAGCAGCTTATTTTGCTGCTCATATTATTCTATTATTACTTATCTACAAGTGATCACATGCCATCTTTAATTTTATCTGATGGCAGGTCAATGTCTAGTGCATATATTTCTTCTTTTATGCCATCATTTTATTCTATAAGTAATTTCTACATTAAAAATGATGGCATTATTATTAACTTATTATTTATTCTTGGCGATGGCATTATAAAGATATAAAAGATAAAATCCATTGGCCATCGCTTATTTTATTATATTTATCACTCATTATTTATTATAAGATGGCCAATGGCATGATAAGTTAATAAAAGAAATAGAATAACATGCCATTGACCATTATTTATATATTATCTTTCATGGGTCAATGGCATAAGAAAATAAGTTAATAACACTTAGCCATTGACCTTGAAATCTATTATAAATAAAAGATTTCAATCATGATTATAGAATTAACTATTAAATTAAAGGCAATTTGCAATATAAGATATCAATAATTAATTAGCAAATTGCCAATAAGAAAGACATTACCATTAATTTTGGTAGATAAAAAGAAAAGTAAATAATATATGACCAAAATTAATGGGGGATTCATTCTTTAATATAAAATATAAGACAAATAAAAGAATGAATCCCTAAAGATAAAGAGACCATGGATTTTAATAATTAAAAGATAACAAGAAATATATTAAAATCCATGGTAGTTCATTCATTTATTATCCTCATATTTTATTCGGACATTTTACTTTTATTTTTATTGTAAAATGGCCAATTGCTAGTCATAAATTAATTCATAGGCATTCTATTTTTATTATCTCTTTCTTCTTTCCAGTTCTTGGAGTTAGGCCAACCTATAAAAATAGAATGCCATTATATAAAGAGATGAAAGATAAATGACATATCCACCATTAATTTAAGAGATGAAGGGAAAATTAATGGTGATGAAGGACATAAGTAACCGGAAAAATCTCATGACAACTAGTAATTTATTATTAGAGATTTTTCCGTCTATTAACCATCATTAAATTATAAAAGAAATCAATAAATTTAATGATGGTTTCTATCTTATGACCTCTTAAAATAAGAGGATATCATTCTTTAATTCTAATATGAATGATAGGTCATAGGCTAGTCTATATTATAATGTCTTTGGCTTCTTTTTCATATTAAAAGATTAGTAAATAAAAAGAAGCCAAATATTAATCATTTATTTATATTATTGTGCACCCATCATATTTATCATCTTATTTATTTATGGGTGCACATATTATTATTTATTATTCATATATCTGCCATTCATTAATATAAAAGATGATGATAAAATGAATGGCAGAATAATATATTAATTAATGATTGGCCAACCCACTAATTTCTACATCTTATTATATTTAAAGTGGGTTGGCAAAGATATATATATTATTATATTATTTATGGTTTTTATCTCTTATTATCATTACGCCTTATCATTTTCTCTTATTATCTTCTGTATTCTTATAAGGCGTAATGAAAGTAATAATTAAAGTAAAAGAAAGATAATAATAATAATACAATAAATATAATGGTGTTAACCCCCTAAATAAATAGTGACCTAGCAACCGCAAAGTGCATATGCTTGGCACTTTAGTTTATGCGATATAGCATATTATTTATTATCTTTTACATGTAATTATATAAGACTCATGAATTTTAATGAAAAAGGGATTACTAATATATTAAAATTCATGAGGATGTAGGAGCTATTAATTTTGGCAGTCATTTTTCTTATCCAAAATTAATAGCCGTGTAGGGCCCAACCTCTGTTTCCTTATTTATTACTTCTATCTTTTATAAAAAACAGAGGTTGGTACGCCAGAAAGTGAATATGAATGTAAATGAAATATGAACGGTAAGGACAAAAACCGTAATGAATGAAATGAATGAAGGAGCGACCAACCTGACCACTAATGAAAATAAATGGTTGTTCATATTTTTTCTTTCTTATTACCATTTATTTTCATAATAAGAGGTCAGACTTCCTCACCATCATTTTACTTTTAATATCTTTATCGTAATTATTAATGATGGTGAGGATTAATAATAAGTGAATAAAATGGGTTGCCGGTGACTTCCTACATAAATAAAAGGATACGAAAATTCTTTGGCAACCCTCAAAATAATAATCCACTAGCATGTTCATATGCCCTTTTTGACAGGGCTCATTAAATTAAATGGATTATTACTTTTCTTTTTGCCATTTAATTTAATGTACACACATGCATTTCTATATTATAAAATTGAGGGATTATCAATTTTATAAAGAAATGCAACATGAATATAAATTACTTAAGGGATAAAGCCAAAATATAATAATCCTTTCTTTTCAATATATTTTGGCTTGCTAACCATCATTTGTCTTTCATTTCTTAACAAATGATGGTTCACTTTTCTTATTCCTTTATTATTAGCAAATGAGCCAATTTTTAATTATTAATAAATTGGCGGTCATCGGTTAGTTCACTTATCTTTTAATTTATAGGGTGGCCATTAATCTATTGTCACTATTTCTTTTTCCTTTCGCAGTCTCCGGCCACCCATTAATTTATATTATATGGCTTGTTATTTTGCTATAGCAATTTACTTATCATTAAAATAACAAGCCATATGATAAGATAAAAGAAAGATAAATGATATATGATATAGATGCCCGATGAACATGTTAATATATTTCTTTATTATTAATGATCGGGCATCAAGAATGAAATATATAGGACTAGCAGATGGCCCAAAATCTAATAATAATGAAAGATTTTGTCCACTATTAATTTATTGCAAAATGAATTAATATTAAGTGGCAAGTAATAATAAGAAGATAATGAATGAAAATTAATGATAAGTTAATTTTCATGAATGGACCATTAATTTTGGTCTTGTATTTTTATCTCTTATTTACCAAAATTAATGGGATGTTTACTTTAATTTATGGAGATTTTCATATTAATTTCTTCATGAGAAAATCTCCAAATAATATAATAGATAATAATATAGCGGCAGCAAATAATAAGAGATTTTAATAATAATTGCTGCCGCCGGTCTATTTTTATTAATTCTTTTCTTATTTGCAACCCATTTTCTATTAAAAGATATATGAATTAAGAAAATGGGGTTGCTATCTCTTATATTATTCCTTTATGATTAGCAAATGATGTCAACCTTTTATTTAAATTAGGTTGACAGGCCATATGCTAGTGTAATAATATATTGATGTTTGCCTTTATTATTTTTATTCGTATCCTTTTTTCCGTGTTGAAGGCTTCATAAGCTGGAAAATAATAAAGGCAAATAATAAGTGATTGAACATATGGCCGCATTATAATAAAGAAATAGAATAAAATTTAGCGGCCATCGTTAATATAAATTATTGACTATTGGAAAAATCCCATCATATTTATTGATTATTATTTATAAGGGATTTTTCCCGCCATTAAATTTATTAAGTTCTTTTATTTAAATTTAATGGCTATTATTAATCATTTCCTTCTTATAAATCAATGATAGCAGATTTAATTCATAATAAATTTCTGCTAAGTCAATTGCTAGTCATATATTTATATTAAGGATGGCAATATTTTATATTCTGTCCCCACTTTTTACTTTAATGAAGGTTACGAGAGCCGGATAAAATATTGCCATCATATATCTTTTAATCTAATGCCTTTTCTATTAACATAAGAGACAAATAAATAATAATAGAAAAGGCATAAAAGAAGAGATTATGACGTTATCGATGGCCTCACAACGTCATTTAAATAAAGTTGTGATCATGAAATATAAAATGAATAATAAATAAGAGGAAAATTCTCCATTAAAAGACATATAGTTAGAGAATTTTCCAACATAAGTAATAATAATGGATTATAGCTGTGGACCGGTCCTTTCATCTCTCTAACTCTTGGTCCACAGCCTATGGGATTTTACTTACCTTTCTTTTTCATATAGTAAAATCCCATATATTTATTATTCATGTTGGCCATTAATTTCATGGCCATTTAATTACATGTTATATCTTATAAATCAATGACTCGCCATTTTAATTTAAATATATGGCGAGGGCCAAAGGCTAGTGTATAAGAAATATATATTATTGCCAAGCTTTATTTTCATGGTTTTCTTTATTATTAAAGCTTGGCAACTTATGTCACTTATTATTTACTTTCATATTGCCCCCATATAATAAATGATATAAGAAAAATGGGGGCAATAAAGAATATAAAAGATGATGTAGCCCATCGTCAATAATATATTTAAAAGAGGTCATAGACGATGGGCGATATAAGATATAATTAATATATGATGTTGCTCTTATTATCAATTAAAAGATAAATGAAATAAAATAAGAGCAACATATAATTCTATAAGTGACTAGCACATGACCCATCAATCTTATATAAATGAAAGATTGATGTCATTGTCATATAAGTAATAGATATAAATAATAGATGAAATTTCATAAGTAATCCAAAGAAATTTCATCCTTTATTATCAGATTTTGGCATTATATCTTAATATTTTTGTAGTAGCCAAAATCTGTTATTATTAATGTTCTACCATGAATTTTATTATCTATTACTTCTATAAAATTCATGGTTATTCATTTATTATAAGGGGATTTTTAACTATAAGAGATTACTATTATTAAAAATCCCCCCATGAATTTATTCACCTAAGAAATTTCATCTAGAATAAATTCATGGATATATTTCTTTCTTATTTATCATCTTTGCACCTTATTTTCATATTAATATTTCTATCTTTTACTTTTAAAATAAGGTGCAAATAATATAATATAAATCTCTTAATGTGGCAGCAGAGGTGGACAAAAATATACGCTGCCACTTTTATAATATAAATAATAGACTAGCAATCACATAATCATCACATATTAATAACTTATGGTGATGAGTGCGAATGAAATATGAGCATTATAAATTAAAGATTCCCTCATCCATTTTTCCAGGTAATTACATACGGATGTCTTTTTAATAAAAATGGATGAGGATAAAGAGAGTTAGCAAATAAGAATGAATTTGTATTTTTGTTATTCTTATTTGCCCTTAGGTGCCATCATCATATTAATTCACTTATTATTTCCTTTCATATTAATATGATGATGGACTAGAGCACCAATAATAAAGAAGAGATAGATGGTAATGGTGCTCTAGTGACATGAAAAATCCATAGAAATAAATTAAAAGTGCTGGATTTTTCATGGTATTCTTTTCTTATTCTTACCTGCATTTTTATCTTATAAGATAGCAAGAAATATATAAAAATGCAGGAATTATATCTTATTATTTATTATGGGCTTTTTATATAAAGAAATGAAGAATATAAATATAAAAAGCCCCTATATATAATGGTGATAACCTGCCATGAATTTAATCTAATCATTTTCATCTAATAAATTCATGGCATATAAGAGATATAATGACTAGCAATTAGCCCATCAATCTATTAATAATTAAAGATTGATGTCCACTTTTATTAAGTGGTGTATAGAAATGAATGATAATACATGAATTATTTCATCATTTAATATTAAGATTTCTATGGATTACTTGGCAAAAATAAAATACCAATATAATTAATAAAGATAGACAAGGAAATAGAATTCTATTTCTAAGACATACATTACATTAATCATGATAAGATTTCTGGATTATTAATTAAATTATACCTTCGTTCACTTGCGATTTCACTTTGCGGCTGGTCCCTCATCATTTATATTTAGTTCTTTATAATTAATGGACCAGCAAAGATAATTCGTAAGTTGTCAATGGTCAATCTTACATTATTATTTATTACTATTTTTATAAGGAAATTACCATAAGAAAGAAAAGAACATAATGGTCAATATTATTAATGATGAATAAAATATGAGAGAAATATGATCATAATATAATTAATAAATATTGGGTGAAGTAATCCTTAATGTAAAGGTTAAATATTAATATAAGATATGGAAATAATGGTCAATAATAATAAGTTAATGATAAGGATAGAATAATAAATATTGGAGAAGAATGCAAAAGCATAAGGAAATGATAAATAAAATCATGAATGCATAATATAAAATCAGTGACCTCGTTTTCCCCTTTTGTAGCTTGCCAGATTAGGATTCTTGTATATGAAAATAAATAGTGAAATAAATTATAGTAAACAAGAATATAAATATATGGTGAGTGAGTCTATGAACTTTATTAAATATTAATGAATAAGAATAATAAATGATAGGTTGATAACTAATAGATAAGGAAATGAAGGCGTACCGAAGGAAAAGATAAGTAAAAGATAAATAATATATTTTGGTAAGACTTTCATTCTAATTTAATATAAGAGACCATTGCTAAGAATTAATTAATGACAAGTTTATTGAAATTTCTATAGATATAATAAATATAAAGAGATATAGATAGAAATAATAAGATATCCATCTATAAATAATAATGAATGTAGATAATAGAATTTATGATCAATAATAATTAATGTATGAATAAAATAATAACAACCTAGCAAGAATCAGTAAATAAAATGCTATTAACTTTATAATTAGAAGATAATAACATTAAAATATATATTCTGCATTCAAGATATGAATAATAATGATGGAAATTAATATATAACCCTAAGATACGAGGAAGAGATTCCCGAGACAAGAATTGAATTATAGTCAAGATTTTTATAGAATACAATGGAATTATCTATGAATTAATATATGAACCATAAATAATATAAATGAATGAATGTCATGAGATTGGGGAAAATAAACCCTCATAAAATAAAAGCTGTATCTTGAGATTGTAACCTTCATGGTAGAACTTAATTATAATGATAAGGAAATATAGGAATAATAATAATCTATCATTTTAATCTATAATATAATAATAATACATGAATAATATTTATATTTACAATAAAAAGCATAATATTATAATGAAGGTTTTGTATTCTAAATCTAATATTAGAGGAAATGGAGTTTACAGAATTATTTCATCTACAAGTTACAGCAATTATAATATAGAAGATAGCATTAATATATAAGATGAAATAATAATAAAGATAACTAATAATAATGAATGAATGAATGAATAATACATGAAAGATAGGAAAGTTATTCCTGATCCAATAGATGACAGGGAATTCCAGGAATGAAAAGAATCTGGAAAGGATGGGATTCTTCTTGCCATTACATTAAATCCTAAGAAATGCATTGGTGAAAAGGTAAGAAGAATACCAATAAATATTAAATGTAAATGATAAAGAGAGAGTGTACATGAGGATGAAAATAATAAATTCTTATTAGCAACAATCTTTTCTCCATTCAAGATTATTCCAGAGAATATAGCAATTATAGCTCCTAAAGAAAGAACAAAATGAAAATGTGCTACAACATAATATGTATCATGTAATCCTAGATCCACTGCACCATTTCCAAGAATTATTCCTGTTGACCCACCTATCGTAAACATTAATAAAAATAGATGTGAGAGGAAGACAGAAGTAATCCTAAGGTGTAATAATGGTGGATTGGAGAGATATGTAAAAAGCCAATTAAATATTTTTGTACCAGTTGGTAAGGATATTAAGATTGTAACTCCTGTAAAATAAGCTCTTGTATCACTTTCTAAACCTACAGTATACATATGATGTCCCCAAACAAGACCTCCAAGAAGAGAAATAGATGACATGGCAAAGATCATTGATTGGTTAGCAAAAATAATTAATTGTAAAATACCAGAAATTATTATGGAAATGATCCCAAATGCAGGAATTATTAATATGTAAACTTCTGGATGTCCAAAAAACCAAAATAAATGTTGATAGAATATAGGATCTCCTCCAAATATTGGATCAAAGAAAATTGTATTAGAATGAAGATCACCCAATATTAAAAGAAGTGTTCCAGATAAGATTGGTAATGTTAATAAAAGCATGAAAGCTGTAATCAAGAAAGACCAAGGAAATAATGGAATAGAAGATAATATCAGATAATAAGATCTCAATAAATGAATAGTTGTCCAAAAGTTAAGAGATGTAAGACATGAAGATATACCAGAGATTATTAATCCAAATATAAGATTTCCTGTACTTGAAGGTGATAAAGTCATAAAAGAAGTGGATAATGGTGGGTAGAGCGTCCATCCTGTACCACCTCCAAATTCTGAGATTAAAGAAAGGATTAGGAAAAGATATGAAAGCAAAATAATTAAGATAGAAAAATTATTGACTCTAGGATATACCACTTCTGGAGACCCTTGAAAGATAGGTACAAAATAATTTCCAAATCCTCCAAACAAGCCAGGCATTACTAAAAAGAAAATCATAAGAAAGCCATGCAATGTAATGCTTATATTATAGAAGTTCTGGTTTTCTGGAGATATAATCCTATTTCCTGAAGAATATAATTCTATTCTTATAAGGACTGATATTAATGTACCGGAGATTCCAAAGATGAATCCAGATAATAAATAATAGATTCCTAAGCCTTTATGATTACAATTTTTAACTAATGAATGAAAATGATAATAATATGAATTAAAATATAATAAACCCTTGAATTTAATATAAAATAAGATGAAAATAATATAATAGAATAAAATAATATAACAAATAATAAGTAATAATGAATGGCATTAGCTAAAAAGACAAGGATATGAATTCTAAATTAAATGAGGATGATAAAATATAAGTAATGTAATAATAATGGTAAGAATAATGAATCCTAATATATGAATAAAGAATAATGAAAATAATATTAATAACTAAAGAAAATAATAAGAGAGATAGATTCTAGAAGAGCATAATAATAATTTATGTTTATGTTATGAGAAAGTGAATTAACATGTGAATGAAATATTATAAATGAGGAGATGGTGGGTCCGATTACACTTTCCTTTACTTTTAATAAATCATGAACCAATATTAAACATATCTTGAATAAATGAATTATAATATAAACCATTAAAATAGATAATAAATAATATTAATATTCATGAGTGATAATAATAATCATGAGATTGATAATAGATAATGAACTATAAGGTGAATAAAATGAATGTTAAGATTTCTATGAAAATACTATAATAAATATAATATTGGAATAGTGGAAATATATATTATTATTGTTGTTTCCTTTTCTTTAATGAATAATATTAATATTCAACATAAATA